ACAACACTCTATGTATCCCGTTCTGTTTATAACTCTATCTATCTATCTATCTATCTATCTATCTATCTATCTATCTATCTATCTATCCCAGTTTGTTTATAACCTCATCTATCTATTATATACTGTACCTATGAACACTAATGGGTATGTCCCAATCGTCATAAATATATTGGACACTATTGTAAGTGGGGGTAATATGATGTCTAAGTGGTCCACCTCTAGCAGTGGTTTACCTACATCACGCCGCTGGCGAGTACTGTATTTTGTTGATGTTATAATGATTACCATTTCATTTCCAACCTCCGTTTTGGTTATTCCTTATCCAGTAACCTTTTATCGGTTACAACAGAGGGAGAATTTCTTTCTGGAATGACACTCTCATATACATAGACAAACATACTACAAATGTACATAGTTGTGTTTTTTTTGTAAACACGCATGAACGCGCTCTGTTATAATTATTTTAAAATTAAATGTTGAAGCTTTCATGAAGCATTTAGTTTACTTTTAATTTCAAGCTAGTAAATTTAATTTAAAATATCTAATAAGTACATAAATTACTGTGTTTCAAAACTAATTTATATTGAATGGAAGGAGTACATTTTTTAAATCGTTAAAGATCGCTTTTTTTAGTCATTTGTAATATTCTTTATTAAAATGTCTTACAAAAATAAAATATACTTTTCTGAAGCTTTATTTGAGGAATATTAGCAGTTTTTAAGTTTAATCTGATTTGGAACAAACCTTACTTTAATTTCAAGACGTCCCAGAAATGCATATTTACCGATACTTCAAATATACAAATCAACCATTCGCCCTTGCATGGAGTATTGCTGCCATATATGGTCTGGAGCCCCTACTATTTGCCTCGGGGTTCTTGATGAGATCCAGAGACGGATATGTAATATAATTGGCCCTGATCTGGCATCTCGCCTACAGTCACTCTCTCACAGACGCGCCGTCGCCTCTCTCTGTCTTTTTTTTACAAATACTTCCATGGAAATTGCTCCGATGAGCTGCTTTCACTGGTTCCCAGACTTCATGAATTCAAGCGCCCTACGAGGCTGGCATCCCGCTCTCACCCTTTAACTGTAGACACTTCTAAATGTAGTCGTCTCTTCTACTTCAATAGCTTCATACATAGCACCTCTCGCCTGTGGAACTCCCTTCCCTATTACTGTTTCCCTGAGAGCTATAATCTCCAACTATTCAAATGTAATGTTAATCGACATCCCCAGTTAGCTTGATCTATCCACTATCTCTCTCCTCATCCTTTCTTCTATCACTCCTATCTGCTCTTGCTCCAAATCTTCTGCAACCCCCTGCATCCTAGTGGCTTCACGCCTTGCTCGGGGCGTAATGCTTAAAAAAAAAAAAAAAAAAAAAAAAAAAAGAAGAAAAAAAGATCAGTGTTTGTTTATGACGATGAAAGCTTTATTGACAGCCTGACAGCTCTATCGACAACTGGAAATTTAGCTAATTTTTTTTATGAGGGGACATATCCGAAGAAATTACTTGGGTTTTTTAAAATAGTTGTTAACTACCAAGTGATCTTAAAAATGAAAGAAAATATTCTCTGTAATCTAATGTTCATTGAATCTTAGGTATATTGGATTCAAATTTATTATAGTTATCATTCTTATTTCCGATAATATCGTGTATAGACATCCGTACTTACAAAAATCGGCACGTTTATACATACACAAAATTCAAAATTCCTTTTAACATATTGATGTTCGCTGAATTGTAATAGGCTTTTCTATTCATGATTAGTAAATATAGCTTTATTTTAAGACAATATGACTGAAAATTAATACAGAAATATAAAATGCTTAAAACTGTATAAATTATTCTAATTAAAATAAAAAACAATTTATGTAAATATTATCTATTCATCGAAAACATTTTTCTTAAGATAGTAGCGTCTATCTTGTTCATAAAAATATATACATAATATATATCTTGTTCATTAAAGTATATACATAATATATATCTTGTTCATAAAAGTATATACATAATATACATATTGTTCATAAAAATATATACATAATATATATCTTGTTTATAAAAGTATATACATAATATACATCTTGCTCATAAAAGTATATACATAATATACATCTTGTTCATAAAAGTATATAAATAATATATATCTTGTTCATAAATATAATATATCTTGTTCATAAAAGCCATTAAAAGCTCTTCTAATTAAATAGAGTTTTAGTTTTATTCCATTTTTTATAGTATGATTCCGAGCAAATTTTCACTAATTAGGGGTCCTGTTTTACAAAAAAAAAGATAAATAAAAAAAATATATGATTTAAATTTTGTAACGAGTTTATAACTAATATTAATATTAAACCGTAAAATTTAAGTTTTCTCGAAACTTTCTAAAATTAAATAAGTCAGGTGTTAACAGATGTAAAAAAAAAACAACGTTTTTCTACAAAGGAAAATATTTTCATTCATGTGTGAATAACTCTCGAAAGATTCATTAAAATCCGGCTATTACCTGATGTTTGCAAGAATTTTCAACTCATTTTGCTTTTCAACGCAAAAAGACACTGAAATTTGTTGTACTAATTTATGGTCACCTGCTGATACAAGAAAAACAGTATTTTTATCCCAAATTTCAAAATTATAAAACGGACAGAAAAATATAATTTAATGATTAAAAATCCATGTGGTCTTTCCTCTAAATAATAACAGAAAGATTTTGATAATAAAACTGTTTTTAATAATTTTTTCATCACGTGTGTTCGTTTTTTAAAAGATCCCTGCAGGTACTTATATACAGGATTTATCAAAGATCCTTACACCAAAACAAGAACAAGAGTTCAATATAAACATATGTCTGCAGATCCTTCGTTTTTGAGTTAATAAGTATAAAGATGAAAGATTAAGTTATTAAGATAAAAAGACGCCATTAAAATTGCAATTCAAGATACAATCCAAAATACTTTTACAAACTTTGAATTTCCTGCCATAGTTAAACGGAACACTTCTGGGTTAACTCACTGCTATAAACGTGAAACGTTGAAGACAGACTAGCCAGAAATGGACACGAATAACAAATGTAACCAAGTCTCCAGGCAAGACAAGCGCCATTTACTGGAAACATATTTAAACTTAATAACTTACAAACGTAGGTTTTGTGGATATATGTTCATATGGACGTCTGTCATTGTTTTGGTGTGAAGTACCCGCCCCGCAAAACAAAGTCTGTAAAAGTATTTCTGATACATCCCGTATATATATATATATATATATATATATATATATATATATATATATGGGTGTGTGTGTGTCTGTGAAAGAGTGGGTGTATATCAATGTGTGCATATTATATATATATATATATATATATATATATATATATATATATATATATATATATATATATGGTTGTTTCAGTATTATTTAATCAATGTTTGTAAGCTTGTGTGTTTCTGCATAAATGACTGTGGGTGTATGTGTATGTGTGCATATATATATTTGGATTATCAAAATGTGATTATATATATATATATATGAATGTGATTATATATATATGTGTGTGTGTGTGTGTGGGTGTATGTGTAATGTGTATATGTGCATATATATATATATATATATGTATGTATATGCAAATATGTAGAAAAATGAAAAAGAACACGTTAGGTAAATAATCCGGAGTTCTTTAGTATTTTTGTTTTTATTTTTAAAACAGTGCTCCATACAGAAGTAGAGCTTAAATATATATATATATATATATATATATATATATATATATATATATATATATATATATATAAGTAATTCATCGAGTCTAGAAGAAACCTCAACAGAATGCAGAAAGCACTAGACGGGCGTTTCGTCCTATATCCGAGTTTCTCTTTACCCATAGGACTGTGCCTCCATGAGCTACGACTACTCTCCCCAAGCCTAGGGGTAAAGAGAAACTTGGATGAATTCCACCACGGAATATGTGATCGAGCGGCGCTATATCGAGTCTAATTCGTTTCATTTTTCGTCTCTGAGGCCTGTTGGCACAGTTGGTGTGGCGTTTGCCTCCTATTGTAACTGTCCGAGTTTCAATTCTCGGTAGTGTATGCGCACTTCGGATGAGTCCCCAATATATGACGAAACGGCCATCCAGAAGGCTTGGAGGACACTGATGTTAAAATGAAACAGTAGACTACCTACCTGACGAGCTTGTGTGGGTCAATGACGGAACTAGGTTTTGGAGATGTTACAAAGGAATAAACATTACTAGGCGTTATATAGTGAACTAGCTCAGAGCAGAAACCAGGTTCTTGCACAACGTTCAGCTTCTTCCAGTCCAACGTTTGTGGCTTCAAAAATAAGGCGTGAGTATAGCAGTTGACAAATTTTATCCTGGTTGTAACTGTCTGCTGTAGACGAGCGAGGCAGAAGCGTTCTAATCAGCTTGTGTGCGTCTTCCTTTTTGTGTGTCGGCAAACGGTTCTTTGTTTTCGGCTGGTAGTGACCACCCTCTTATAGAGGACAAACGTTCTTTATCCTGTCATTTTTCATCTAAAAAAACAAAGGTCATTCATCAAGTCCTCGTTGTCTGGCCCCACTCAATGACCTCCTTTGTCAGGATCGGTTTACATGTTTATTGTGAGGTTCACTTCACATAGCTGATAATCGGACAATAACTAACGAAACAATTTCGGTAACATCTTTCAGATGTTTTTTCTCTTTTAACAAGATATCGGCTGACACTGGTATTGTTACAATTACATGGGGAAGAAGATGGTGGAGAGCCATAACTGCTTATATCCCGAAAAGTTTATATTTTTTTGCTAGCTATTCTATTTTTCTTGTTTATTACGTTTGTAATTATTTTCAGATCTCATTCCTGGCATTTTAAAGCCATTTTCTCTTATTCTTATCTTAACAAATTTTTCAATTTGAAGAAAATTATTTTGTTTAAATGTTTATTCTGTTGACTTGTCCTCGAATGGAAACAGATTTCCTCCGACGACACCAGACTTTTAATACAATTGAAAAAAAGGAAAGATTTTCATCAGAGGAATTGGGGGAAAGAAACGACTTGTTAAAGAAAGAAAAGAAAAATGATGTGCGTAAAATATTCGAAGCAACTGAGACAAGAGAAGAGAACCGGCTTTAAAGAAAGAAAGAAAGAAAGAAAGAAAGAAAGAAAGAAAGAAAGAAAGAAAATAACAGAGAAGAAAAGGAAAAAAGAAAGAAAGAAAAAGAAAATAAAAAAGAAAAAAGAAAAGAAAGAAAGAAAAAGAAAGAAAAAGAAAGAAAGAAAGTGGGGATGTAGTTAATGAGAGAAAGACAAAAAAGAAATAAATAATATATAGAGAGAAAAAAACAAGAGCGCTAGAGATAAACCAAAAAGAAATAATTCAAAAAAGAAAGAAAGAAAAGAAAGAAAGAAAGAAAAAGAAAGAAAATAAAAGAAAAAAGGAAAAATGGGGGAATGGGATGTAGTTAAAAAGAAAGAAAGAAAAGAAAAAAGAAAAAAAAGAAAGAAAAAAATAATATATTAATGAGAGAAAAAAAAGAAAAAAAATAATATATAGAGAGAAAAAAAAAACAAGAGGGTGAGAAAGAGATAAACCAAAAGAAATAATTCAAAGAAAGAAAGAAAGAAAGAAAGAAAGAAAAAGAAAGAAAGAAAGAAAGAAAGAAGTGGACAAAAGCAGGATAGGAATCAAACATAAATCTGATAAAGAATGAAAAAAGAAAGAAAGAAAAATAAATAAATAAATAATAAATAAATAAATAAAGAAAGAAAGAAAGAAAGAAAGAAAGAAAAGGAATAAAGAAAGAAAAAGATGAGAAAGAAGATAAGAAACAAAGAAAAAGGAAAGGAGAAAGAACGGAGAAAGGCAAAATACAGAAAGAAAGACATTAGAAAAAAAAGAAAAAGCAGGCTGTAGTTAAAGAAAGAAAGAAAGAAAAAAAGAAAGAAAGAAAGAAAGAAAAAATAATATAGGACGAACGAAAGAAAAAAGCCTGTGAGTAATAAAGAAAGAAAACAAAAAGAAATAATTCACAGAAAGAAAGAAAGAAAGAAAGAAAGAGGAAAGACGTGAAAAAAGATTGTAAGAAAAGGAAGGGATAAAGAAAGGGGAAAGGTAAAATAAAGAAAGAAAGACGTAAGAAAGAAAATGAAAGAAACATATAAGCAGAATATGATTAAAAAAGAAAGAAAGAAAGAAAGAAGACATAAAATTAAAGAAAAATCAAGTGTCTAGGAAAGAAAGAAAACAAAAAATAAATAATTCAGAGAAATAACGAAAGAAAGAAAGAAAGAAACAACGTTATTAAAGAAAGAAAGGGAAATTAAGTGAATAAATATATTAGAAGCAAAAAGGAATAAAAGCAAAATAAATGCATTGAGAAAAAGAAAGAAAAATAAGAATGACGAAAGACCAGATGATAGAGGCAGGAAACAAGAAAGAAAGAAAGAAAGAAAGAAAGAAAGAAAGAAAGAAAGGAAAAAGAAAGAAAAGAAAGAAAGAAAAAGAAAAAAGAAAGAAAAGAAAGGGGAAAAGGCTAAAAAACGTTAAAGAAAGCGCTAAGTAAAAAGAAAAGCGTGGGGAAAGGCTAAAAGAAAGAAAAGAAAGAAAAAGAAAGAAAAAAAGAAAGAAAGAAAGAAAGAAAGAAAGAAAAGAAAGAAAGAAAGAAAAGGAAAAAAGAAGAAAAAGGCTAAAAAGACGTTAAGAGAGCGCTAGGTAAAAGAAAGAAAGAAAAAAAAGAAAGAAAAGAAAGAAAGAAAGAAAGAAAGAAAGAAAGAAAGAAAGAAAGAAAGAAAGAAAGAAAGAAAGAAAGAAAGAAAGAAAAGGAAAAAAGAGAAGCGTGGGGGAAAGGCTAAAAGACGTTAGCTTGAGCGCTAGGTAAAAGAAAGAAAGAAAGAAAGAAAGAAAGAAAGAAAGAAAGAAAGAAAGAAAATAGATAGGATGTAGTTAATGAGAGAAAGACAAGAAAAAGAAATAAATAATATATAGAGAGAAAAAAAACAAGAGGGTGAGAAAGAGAGATAAACCAAAAAGAAATAATTCATAGAAAGAAAGAAAGAAAGAAAGAAAGAAAGATAAAATTGGCGAGTAAAAATACAAGAAATAAAAGAAATAAAAAGAGATATGGTGATTGAAAAAGGAGGAATCAAGAAGGAAAGAAATATCTAGAATAAATAAAACAAGAAAAGAAATGATCAAATACAGTAAAGAATGAAAGAAGAAAAAAACACTTTACAGAAATATGGACAAGAAAAGATAGAAAGTAAAAAAAAATAATCCGAGAAAAATGAAGAATATGAAATCAGGAAAGAAAATAGACCGGAAGTAAATGAAACTAAACGAAACAAGAAAAAAAAAACCGTTTGTCTTTTAAAAACTAACAATGAAAGACATACTCCGGGAGAAAGAGTGTTGACGTATAATCAGATAATTGGAACCAGCAATTACTCCATCCTTTTCTTTCTTGTGACAAACTATTCATCCGTCTTTATGATAAAGCTATACAGACGCGTGTGTCTGATAATGATGCTATTACGGGAAAACTTCCAATTCCAAAATGCAGAAAAAAAAGACTAATTACCCGTAGAACAAATCCAAACACACAAAAGACATTTTGCAAGTTTCAGGTAGAATCAATGTTCTCCAGAAATGATAAGAAAAAAAAAATGAAGTGTTTTTTTTTTTTTTTTCTCGGAAAAAGCATTTAATTCTTACAGATTAGTTAGGGTGCATTAGGGTGGTAATAACATTTTCGCCGGAAATCTCCATGATTAAACATTGTAAATGCCAAATAATAATAATAATAATAGTGGAAAATGAATTTGAAAATTGTACTTATAGTTATTAGAACACTTGGAACAATTTCAAAGAATCTTGATCAGACCCTATACTCTAGTGCAACAGATTGATTCCTTTATTACGGTTTATTAACCCTTTGCAAGTCATTTAAAGCCAGAAAGAATTCTTAGATTGTAAGAATTTCTGTTTCAGATAAAAATAATTTAGTGATACAAGTCTTACTAATTAACCCATAGCTGAGGAGAGAATGGTTTCCTACCTTGAGAAAGGTAGGAATGTACGTCTGGGAATATAACGAACACAACTCGAATAGGAATTCGGCTCTTCATTTGACATTTCCAAGCCATTATCCACTAAACCACCTGCACACCCAAGCTTATAGCACCTTGTATTCCCAACAGCTTGCCCATTTGACTACTATCTTCAGTGATCGTACGGGAACCCGTGTTTCGGCGTGATATGGCCGTAAGCCGTTGTTCGACAGAATCACAAAGAAAGAACCTTACCAAACAAGAAAAACAACATCACAACGAAGACTTCCAATAACAGCAACAACTAAAATGGATAGCGTATACAATTATCAGAACTGTAACGCTTATTATCTTGTATATCTATAAGTCTACCATTCTTTCATGCTTAGAATATCCCTACCATATATAATCCGGTGCCTATTTACCTTATAAGATCCAAAGAAGAATCAGCAATATTATTGATCCTGTTCTGGCGGCTCGGCTTCAGTAATTGACCACCGCCTTTCTCTACATTTTTTTAATAAAAACTTTCATGATAATTGCTCGGATGAGCTCTTCGCAATGGTATCCAGACTGCAGGAATTTAAGCGCAATACGAGACTGGCGGCAGGATCTCATCAATTTAATGTTGAGCTAGCAAGTTGTAGACGTAAGTTCTATGCTATCAGTTTCTTCTCTCGCACTTCTCACTTGTGGAACTCCCTTCAGGCCCCATGCTTTCCAGCCAACTTGTTGAGATGTTGAGTGTTTCCCCATGCGTGTATTGAAATAAGAACAAATACATACGTAGGGAAAAATACTGGTATATCTGAAGAGGTATTTACAACAGAGAGATTAGTAGTCAAACGAACGCAGGTTAGTCAGTAACAATCAGAAAGAGTATAAAGTTTAACTGTATCTTCCGGTAGAGAGACGGAAGTGTGATGGTCACCTGATCTCCCAGAACTCTCTAGAACTGTTCTATTAGTAGTAGAGAGATCAGTCCATTCTGATGAGAAGGTGGGTGGCCCCAACACAACTTTTACTGTAAACATTCAAATGCAATGTCAATGCTTTGCTTGTAGAAATTCCTTCTGGCTCCATGCTTTCAAGCCAACTTTAATCTGCAAAAATTTAAATGTAATTTTAATCGCTATATTCTATCATCCTGATTATTCTTTCCTCTTCCCGCTCATTATTAATGTTTCTGTTCCTAATTCTTCCACACCCAGTAACCCCTTGTGTCTTAGTGGCATTACTGCTTTGCTTGGGGTGATATCGATTAAAAAAATCATTGATAAATGTTTAGGAAGGAAACACCTATTGATACTAGAAAGAAAGATAACGTTGAGTGGACTTCAGGTGGTTATTTTCATGAAAAACACGAAACTGAACTAAGATATATGTTTTATAAATTTTAACCAAAATTAACACGAACTATTCTGTCAATAAATATCGATAATTTACTGCAGAGAAACGGCTCCTTTCAGAATTGCCATTTTGGAAGAGTTTGGAAGAATTAGAAAATTAAAGAGGAAGAATCTAAAATATCAAAATGGCAGAATTAGTCCAACCAAGAGGAGAGTTTTGAAATGATTGCTGTCAGAAGATCTTGAATAAAAATCTCCAGATGTTTCTGATTTGAATCACCAATGAGTATAAAACACGATATGAAGATATACGATTATAAATATGATGAAGACGATCAAATATAATTTATAAACTAGATACAATAAAATTAGATCTTCTTTGGCACAATCATAGATTAACAACAATAAATAATAGTAAATTAAATTAATTATTAACAACCTAAAATAAGAAAGGTTATGGGACGGATAGAAGTTTCGTTTTACCATTATCCTTATTAAGTGTGTAAATTGCTCTCTAGACAGAGTGCGCTCAGGGGCGGCTCCGTCAAAGGTCAGAGTCGCAACTGAGGAAAGTTATACTGAGAGGTGCCCAGCCCTGGGGAACAGCTGCCCGAGGCCGCGCCCTCTCATTGCACAAGAGAGAGAGAGAGAGAGAGAGAGAGAGAGAGACCAGCGCAACCGGCGGTTGCGGTTGCTCAGGCAATTTTTGTTCCTAGCCCGGGTGTACAGGCTCGGGCACCCCACATTAAAATGACCTTGTGTCACAACCTGACCTCGTGGGGTGGGTGGGTGAGTAAATACAAATTCTTATTAAGCTCAACAAGTGATTAACCACAATACCTTTTTTAATCATTTCACTATAGGTAGGGAAATAAAGCCACTAAGATGCAAAAGGGTTACTGAGTGTAAAAGAATATAAGAAAAAAAAGAACACCATTAATGGAAGATAACAATACATGATCAGGAACTATGAAGATAGAAGATAAAGATTGATATTGCATTTAATTTTCTTCACGTTTTAATTTGACTGGAAAGCAAGAATGTTGAATACTCCTTCTCTTCTTGAGAGGTTTTTTGGTTGACGGGGACGATTCTATACCGAAGCTGCTTTCTTCTCCCCCAGTCTGGTGATCGCTAGTTGGTTTGTTCCAAGGTAAAATGAGAACATCAACAAAAGGCATTTTAAAATTATTCCTTTTTTAAACAAGTTGATGTGTACATTTTTAACTCGCCACTGAGGAGTAGTTTCCATACACGAAAATAACACGTTTTACACGTCACATCCTTTGACGTGTAAAACACAACTCCCTGAAATCACTTTCAATCTATCTAACTTTCCCATGATCGGCTTAGCCAATCAAAATCGACAACTCTATTTTGTCTACCATCTGACCTTAAAGATCAGCCTCAAAAGGCCTGAGCCAAAATACATTGCCACTAAAATATAATAGTCTGAATCTCTTATCTAACATTCCTTACCTAACCATACCAAATTTATTGATGAATTTTATTTCAACTACATTATATTTAAAAAGAATCCGGTAGCGAGAAGTGCGAGTGAAGAAACTGTCAACATAGAACTTACGGTCATATCTAGCCATTTCAACTGTAAAATGAAACCTTGCCGCGAATCTAGTACTGCAGTTAAGGTAATAAAATTTAGGTATCAAAGAGGAAAGCTCATCGGAAGAATTATCAAGAAAATATTTAAATAAACGGCCCAGGGAAACTACGTTACTGCAGTGGGAAATTGACTATGGCAGAGATGCCAGCTCAGAACCAATAACAGTGCAGATTCTTCTTTGCATTTTTTTTCAAGAATCTTTAAATTCAGAATCAACAGGTGAGATGTGACAGCAATATTCTATATGCACTTTTCGTAGTTTTGAGATATTTGGCTCCAAAGTTTGGTTAAGCATATATTTTTCATAAATTGAAAGAAATATTAACATAACTTTCACGATATTTATTGACGCTTTCTGAGAACTTTACGCCCACATCACGTTGAAACACCGAAGTTAAGCAACGTTGAGCCTGGTCAGTACCTAGATGGGTGGGCGTTTTGGAATAGACTATTCTAAAAAAGTAATAAGAAAACTTTATTTTTAATCAACGGTGATGCACTCAAATGTCGGGATGAAAACAAGAATGATGCAGATATTCGTGTAAATGATTAATAAATCCGTTATTAAAGTGAGATGAATGCAGTCAGAGAGACAAGCAGCACTGGCAGAAATAATGTAGATATGTGCATTTTATTTGCCTTATTTTACGAGCGTAAAAGTTGTACGAACGCAAAGTAAAATGTTTTCTGGAAACTCCTGTTGGGTCATGTCCAGTGGTACTCGGCCTCTAAGACGAGTAGGAGGCTTGCCAAAATGTTAGAAAGTTTCCGCTGGTGGTAGACATTGATTTGCAATTCATTGATCGTGTGCAATTACCTTCTTCCTGTGTTCCAGCTTTGGCCAGCGATTCGGAAATTGAATAATACCGCAAAGTGTACTTTTGTACCGGAAGACGAAAAACATGGCGAATAACGTTTTTTTTTTCTTTTTTTCTTTCTTCGTCTATGTTTTTTTTTTTTAATTTGATCATTAATATACGCCGCAATTATCCCCAAACGTAATGTTCAGCTATAATATTTGACGGCATACACCACATGCGAATGAATACCTTACCGACATTCAACCTCGATATGCGGAGGGAATTGATCGGGTGCTCAGCTGAGTAGTGGGCCTACGACCGCACCCAGTTATGGGTCAGCGGATGATGGTGATGACGATGGTGATGATGATGATGATAGTGTTAGTTTGGAAGGTTAAAAAATTACATAAGCATTTAGTGTCGTTGAAATATGGAGTAATACCATAATATAAAACCTAGCCAAAATGGCCATATAAAAAGGCGGGAAAAATGATTTTATTCATGGAGGATAACAGACAAGTGCAAGCAGAAATCTCTTATATCAGATTCGACATAGTAAAAGAAAGTCGAGAAGAGCCATGATCGCCTCCATCCAGAAGGAAAAAAAAAAACTAGGGAAAATTACATTATTCATAATACTGTTGTCATATTTCAGAGAAAATAGAAGCAGCTTATTGCAAATCGCACATATTAAAGGAAATCGAGAAGAGCCATGACCGCCTACGCCTAAAAGAAAAAAAGGATTAGCACGAAAAATTCTATTATTCATGATACATTTACCATATTTACGAGAAAATAGAAACAACTTATAGCAAATCCCACACATGAAAGGAAATCGAGAAGAATCATGACCGCCTATGCCCAGAAGAAAAGAACAGAAAAAATCATATTATTCATAAAACTGTTATAATTATCAAAAAGAAAACAGGAACGGCTCATAGTAAATCGCACACATTAAAGGAAGTCGAGAAGAGCCATGATCACCTACATACAGAAGAAGGCATAAAGCAGAAAAAATTATATTATTCACCAAAGTTTTATAATTTTCAGGACAAAATAGAAACACCTTATAGCAAATCGCATATATTAAAGGAAATCGTGAAGAGCCATAAGCGCTTAGTCCCTGGAATCGAAGTGTAACAGGAAAATTGTTTTTACTTATAATATTGCTCTAATTCACAAAACAAAACTAGCTTATGGCAATTGGCTAGATTATAGGAAATCGTGAGGCACCGTGTTCGCTAACCTTGTGAAAGGGACGAGTAGCAGGAAAATCTTTATACATACCGTATATAACAGCAAAATTGTCCAAATCGTGTAAACGAAATCTTGTCCAATTATTAGATTAACTTTGAACCGTTGTATCTTAGAAACGATTAAAGATATCTTACTGGAATTCTCCGAAGATTTTATAACACCACTGGAATCTACTTTGAAAAATAAGAATGTATTTATCTCTAAGTTGAAATGATGATCCCTCTTGCTGCTGTGACCTCCTGATCCAGTTTTCCTCTCTACTGTTCCCTCATTTTAAAACATATTCACCGTTCTCTTGATGTTGGGACCATTACTGGAGACGTGAGTGATCATTTTCCTCTCACCATTGCTCAGCTGTGAAGACATAGTGGGGTTGACACAACGATTTTAACCTGTTCTCTTTCTATTTGAATAACTCAAAGGGTTTTTCACTGATTCTTACGACAAATGGAGTCAAGATGACTAAACGTCTAAACTGAAAACATGGAAAAAATAAACTCAATTTGTTTCGTGTATTTTGTTAGATATCAAGCATTTTGTTCACTTATGTATTAATGAAAAATATATAAAAAAAGAAAAAACGAGAAATATAATCAGTCAGTTGCTGCTAATCCTGACGAGTGCACGGAGTGATTCCCGGAGGGTTAGTCTACAAAAGTCTCTGGAGTCGGGATGTTGAAGTTAACACTAATCAGCTAAATGACAAATATTTGTAAATGTATTTGGGCAATAGTTCATATATATATATATATTCGATTCTCCCGTCGAATTCGACGTATCAAGGTTAAGCAGATCAGTTCGTAGAAAACGATAGCCCGACACCAGCACATGAGATTTGATTATAGTGGTGAAGGTCTTTTTGAAGGGCCGAATACAGAGACCTGGTGCACTACGTGCCACAAGGTCCCCAAACGACCCCCAGAAGTTTTTGAATTAAGAGTTGTCCTTCTCCTAGACCAGTTGCCATCAAGGGCTATAGAGCCCAGTATGTCCTTTTATTTGTCCATAATTGGAGGGAGAATATATATATATATATAGGCTCCTGAAAAATTATTTCGGTTAAGCTCTCTGGAGGAAGAAGTGTGGGTTTGTAAACTGTGACTGTTACGGCTGATATAGCAAGACTCTTCGGTAAAGCGAATCAAGTCCTTTCAGTTACCGTGTGTTTATCTAAAAATAAATATGCTAAAATTGATTTTCGTCCAACGGCTTATTGGTAGAATCCCCGACTGACACCAATTCATCCGGGTTTCGATCCTACCTAGAGGCAACCGGAAGTCTAGCCACACTGAAGAGCTGTGATACAGCGAAACAGTCTGTGGATAACAATATATATATATATATATATATATATATATATATATATATATATATATATATATGGTTGTCTGTAAATATCATGCTGCTTTTTAAAGGGAAAATTAAAGCACAGAAACAAAATTATGCCACTAAATATTTATTCAACTAAATATGAACCATTTCGTTGCACAAACTTCCTCAATTGTTCCTGCAACTTAAAGATTCCATCTTTCTAGAATTTTGGTTGGTTCTCGGCAAAGAACTCATTAAGGTGCTCTTTTATATAAAGAATTTAATCGAACCTGCATCCTATACGGAACCGTCATTTACGCTGACGTGCCTTAACCGACTCGGCCACAAAGGAGCGTTCGGTAGGCAAGGTCGAATTTACTACCGAACGCTCCTTTGTGGCCGAGAGGTTAGGCACGTCAGCGTAAATGACGGTTCCGTATAGGATGCAGGTTCGAATCCTGTCAAAGGACGAATATTTTCTATGAAAATTTCTCGGACATTCAGGCCGGTAAATGTTATTTAATACTGTTTATTATAAACAGAGCATTTACTTAAATACTTGTATCTATAAAAAATAAAAAAAGAACGTTAAACATAAAAATGTCTTTAATAAATATATATATATATATATATATATATACATCTCAAAGTATATATATATATATATATATATATATATATATATATATATATATATATATATATATATATGTGTGTGTGTGTGTGTGTGTGTGTGTATACATTGTGTAGATTGATAGACATATAGGAACAGATTGAGATAAATAGATTGACAGATAGATCCACATGAGCACATATATATATATATATATATATATATATATATATAGAGAGAGAGAGAGAGAGAGAAAGATAGATAGATAATGAAAAAATTGTGATAGATAGATAATAACAAATTTAGATAGATAGATATGAACAGACTGGAATAGATAGATAGATAGATAGATAGATAGATAGATAGATAGATAGATAGATAGATGATGAAAAAATAGAGATAGATAGATAGATATTAACTGGCTTAGATACATATCACCTGAGACAAATAGATTGACATGAAAACGGATTAACTTGCTCAAACAAGTCACAATGCCCTAAAAGCGGACAATGTTCAAATTGCTACATCCATGAATCCTCGGCTGAATAGATTGGATGTTAAGTGAGTTTTGCTAATGTAATATCGTATCAAAACTGCACAAGATCAATTAGAAGCCAGATTACTTAACACGCCAACAAAAGAAATCGAAACAGAGACAAATTAAATAGTAAATTTAATGACATTCTTGGAAATGTGAATATGACAGACACAAATTAACAAGAATGTTTGGAATGGTCGGGTCATTGTCGTATTTGTTAGAAATTAATTTAAGCCACAACAGCCTTTAAGAATGTAACAGAAGAAATGCAACAATTAAAGGCATACACAGTTACAACGTAAACATGTATTGACATTATTTAGTATAGAATAAACTGGAAAGACCCGGACAAATTACACGGTTTTCCTATTTTAAATATCTCATGTGCCGCAATTAGTCAGTTAATGATTGAATAAGCTCATGACGAGTTCTACGACAGTAAAATATCTGTAGAAATTCCAACGTCGCATTGTTAAATAATTGAAATTAACAACTTTAATAAATATGAATGTAGGTTGTTATTTTAAGAAATCTATCTATCTATCTATCTATCTATCTATCTATCTATAATAATCTGTTCATTATCTATCTATCTATCTATCTATCTATCTATCTATCTATCTATCTCAGTCTGTTCATTATCTATCTATCTATCTATCTATCTATCTATCTATCTATCTATCTATCTATCTATCTATCTATCTATCTATCTATCTATCTATCTATCTCAGACCTGCTAAATTTTCTAGTTTTCGTTATTTTATATTAAGTTAAAAAAGAATTATGCACTTTTTTTTATAGTTGTTAGTTTAATTTTTCTTATTTGAATGTATGTGTACGCGCATCTATGCGTGTGTACGTTCTGTACGTATGTATATATGTAGGATAGTGTGGTTATTTCTTCTTTTTAAATATTGTCCCATTATACGTTTTCATTATTTATTTTCTTTTTTCCCTTTAGTTCTGAGTGTCAAAAGATAATGTAACAAATTTATTTCCGGGGTCTGAGACGACTTCTAATTAGTTTAATATTCCAGAACATTCTGGGGTTTTCTAAAGCTTTTTTCAAAATATAAATGTATTCAGTCTTTTCTATTTATTTCTTGTTTAAAATTATTTGTCTAGTTATTTTAATTAATGCTTAGATGGCAAAGTAAATATTTGTTTATATGTCTTCGCTTGTCTATTGTGTTCGTTTTTCTTGTTTAATAGTTAATAGATTTTTTTACCCAGCATGATGTTAATTTTTTAGGGTGTTAATTATATACGCATAGGTTTATAAAGGTATTTTATTTATTGTTGTGTAAATATATACACATACGCAGGCACACACACACTCCCCCATACATACATACATACAAATATATATATATATGGACACACTAACATACATACATATGCATATATGTTAATATATTAATTAATGATTAAATGGCTATGTGAATATTTTGGTTAAATAGCTACACTTAGCTATTTTTCTCATTTCCTAATTTATTCGGCTTGGTGGTATTTTAAGTATTAGGTTATTAATTATGGGAAGTTACGTTTATAGGCATATTTCTTTATTTCTGTTTGAATATATATATATATATATATATATATATATATATATATATATATATATATATATATATATATGTAAATGCATACGCATGCATACATTTATAGATTCACACACCCACACGTAAACACACACACACACACACACACACACACATATATATATATATATCATGCATATAATATATAAATAATTATATACTTATATTTATTTATATTTATATACACTTTTTCACATATATATATATATATATATATGTGTGTGTGTATTTGTATATATATATATATATATATATATATATATATATATATATATATATATATATATATATATATATGCACACATACATATACATATATATACATACAGAGTGTCTCAAAATGTACTCAATCTTTAACTGTCTCTAACATGCGTTTTTTTTTTGCAGGTGTAATTAATTAATCACGGCATGGCAGGAAATCAATCTAGTTTGGAAGAGAGGAAGCTTGTCCTGAAATGTTACTGTGGAGCACCCCCCCCCATTACCATCGCGATGTACGAGCTTACCTTGATGCAGCTTTTCCAGACACATGGATTGGACGAAGGGGTACCATTGAATACCCTGCGAGTTCTCCAGACCTCACGCCCATGGATTTTTGTGGGGCTATCTCAAAGACAATTTTTTATCGCACCAAACCAAGAACAATTGATGCATTGAAATTGGAAATTGAAAGACAATGTCGCGATATTCCTAATGACCTGTCTCGTATCGTTTGTGAATCCCTTGTTGTGCGTTATCAGTGTTGTCTGGACAATAATGGTCATCAATTTGAACATTTGCGAACAGGATTCTTCAATTACATTTTTCTTCTGGATTCGAAGCTATTCCATTTCACTCTATGTTCATAAATAAAGGTTTTCTCATCATTCAAAATGTGAGTACATTTTTTTTGGGACACCCTGTATATATATATATATATATATATATATATATATATATATATATACATTATAAATTAATTGATTTAAAATGTTTTTCTTCGCTACACAGTTCTAAGCATGTTTCAAAAATGGAAGCTAAAAGCCCCGAATTTAATTTTGTTTTTATATATATATATATATATATATATGTGTGTGTGTGTGTGTGTGTGTGTGTGTGTGTGTGTGTGAACAGACTGAGATAGACAGATATACATGATCAGACTTAGATAGATATGACCAGACGAAGATAGATAGATAGATAGATAGATAGATAGATAGATAGATAGATAGATAGATAAAGTGACTGAAATAGACAGGTAATGAACAGACTCATACAGAGAATTTTCGTCGTTTCCTGTTTAAATTTGAATATAAATTGTGCGGTTTTTAGCATTTCTCCGAGTTTTCTCATTATCAAGGAGTTTGTTTTATGAAGATATGCATGCATTGTATTTTGGGTGTGTCATTTTCATCTTTTTCAAATATCGCGACTTCACACGTCACGCGGGACTTTTTAAGTATTGCGTCTTCATGCGTCAGTTTGTATTAACGGGCTTTTTTTAGCTACTATATTTCTTTTTTTATAATGTGTTTTTTTTTAAAGTTTAATGATTCTAGTATATGCAATATTTTCTTACAGTTTAAGTGATATGCTATTTTCGTATTATTGGTAAGAGTTTGCTGGATTTTTTGTGTTGTCTTGTTTTAGTTGGTAATAAGTAACTTAACTTAGATGTTATGTGACAAATGCCAAGTTAACTGACGTGATAACGTAGTGGTTGTCTAACGAACGCACATTTTGTTTTATTTATTATTACCAAAGTGACATTCTCTAAGTCGGTAACGGAATTTATAGGCATCATTGGCTTGTTGAAGTTTTTTCTACGTGTCTGTGGTGTGCGTGTTTGTGTGTGTAACAATAATCATCGAACGAACAGACACAATATTAGAATCCTACTTTTCTAAACAGCGTGCACAGATACACAGAGCAGAGGCAGAAGTGCTAATCCATATATATATAGAACCGTTGCATTTAGGATTTTTGTAGTGGATGCAGACAATAGAAAAACCGTTAGTAAATTTAACGCATTTTACCTTTTACTTTTGGAATATGTACTAGGTGTATAAAACTGCCTTTATCGTAACCTATCAAAATTGCTTTTTCTTATCTAACATCTAGTTTTTTTTATTGCTTTGTATGTAGCCGTAAGCAGCTGTGTCAAAATTATGCATATTACTGAGATGAGGTTTATCACTCGTGAACATTTCAAATGAAGTTTTTTTTTTCCCGTTCTGGGACAATAACACCTATTTCTTAGATAGGGATTTTCTCAGCGGAGCTTACATAAGGCACAACACCGAAAGTAGGGGGCACCCAATGAGGATTGAACTCACTAAGTCATAATTGTTCTAGCGAGACAAACTTGCTAACCATTATACACCACGGTTAAGTGCTGAAATGATTTTCTAAGTATAGCTTATATGTGAGACATGACCAAAATTATGGGGCACCCAGTGAGAATTGAACTCTCTACTTAGTTGTAATTAATCTCACAAGACAAGCTTGATAGTCATTACACCATGTTGAAGTGCCCAAATGATTTTCTAAGCATAACTTCTATGTGGCACAAGGCCAAAAGTATGGAGCATACAGCAAGTATCGAACTCTCTGTTCAGTCATAATCGATTTTGCAAGACAAGCTTGATAGTCATTACACCACGTTAAAGCACCTAAATGATTTTCTAAGTGTAGCTTCCATGTGGCACAAGGCCGAAAGTATGGAGCACCCAGTGAGGATTGAACTCAATACTCAGTTGTAATTGATCTCACAAGACAAGCTTGTTAACCATTACACCACATCGAGGTAATAATGAGGGAATGAACATATGAGAGGAACAAGACCTTGTGTCAGAAATTTAGGCAAAAACGCCGGAGGTCTGTGGCAGCCTGTGAGGATTAAACTCACTACTCAGTCATTAATTGTTCTAGTGATACAAGTTTGCTAACCATTATACTCTATCAAGATGACCTATGACTTTCAAAGCATAGTTTACATGTGGCACAAGGCCAAAAGCATGGGGCATCCAGTGAGGATCAAACTCACTGATCAGTAGTAATTCTTCTAGCCATACAAGCTACACTCCATCGAGGTGCCTCATGATTTTCATAGCATAGCTTACATGTGGCACAACAGCGAAAGTAGGGGGAACCCAATGAGGATTGAACTCACTGTCATAACTGTTCCTAGCGAGCCAAGCTTGCTAACCATTACACCACCTCGAGGTGCCCCTAAGTATAGCTTATATGTGAGACATGACCGAAATTATGGGGCACCCAACGAGTATTGAACTCTCTACTTAGTTGTAATTGATC